AAATAATTTGTTTAGAAATTATATATTGGATTAAGATTATTTGGGCTTGCTTGAAAAATCTGGTGAAGTTATTTGGTTGTTCTGCTCCTAGGATATATATGATGGGAATTTTTATTTAGTTTTCTGAATATTAAGTGGCAAAGAATTATCGGTTTTCATCAATAGTTTGAATCTTTATACTTAATGTCCAAAGTTGTGTTTTGATTTTTGATTTTGGTCTTTTAGGACGGAGCTCTGCCGTTTTAGTGGTGCCAAGATATACCCTGGGAAAGGCATCAGATTTGTTCGTTCTGATTCTCAGGTAAATTAACACCTAAATTTGTTCAACTATTTTGCCCATGTTTCTTTTTAAATTTAACCCCTAGTTTTTATACAATGCGGGATCAAACTTGCACCCTCCCAAACCCAAGCCCCACCCCACCCAATTATTTTGCCCAAGTTGTTACTGGTCAAGTCCCTTCCCGGTTGTTGCTTTCGTCTTTCGGACATTGGAGAGGGAGGTTGATCTGTTGGTAACTGTCGATCTTAAGTTTTTTTTTTGGGAACTGTTAGGTGTTCTTGTTTGCAAATTCCAAATGCAAGAGGTATTTCCACAACCGCTTGAAGCCATCTAAGCTTACCTGGACAGCCATGTACAGGAAGCAGCACAAGAAGGTAGATATCCATCCTTTGTTTTTTGTTCTTCCCCTGTATGAACTTATCTAAATGATGGACATATACTTCTAGCTCTAAAATATTTAGACAATCAAAGGTCGTTGTGGGATGCACGTAACTGTGTTTATGATTTGGACACACTTTAGGATATTGCCCAAGAGGCAGTAAGGAAGAGGAGACGTGCCACTAAGAAGCCTTACTCTAGGGCCATTGTTGGTGCCACCTTGGAGGTTATCCAGAAGAGGAGGACTGAGAAGCCCGAGGTTCGTGATGCAGCAAGAGAAGCTGCTCTCCGGTGCGTTTTCTTATCTGTTCTCATATTCCCTTGATTGGCTTCAAGTTTACTTTACAATATACCAGAGGGATTTACT